GAGAAATATAATAATGACCAGTGCAGCAAGAGGTGCCCATGAGTGCAATAATGGTGTGAATGTCATGGGGGAACCAACCACTTGCAATTGGATTAAGGCCTGCTTCATAGGAGGAAGCAACTCCCTGATACTATAAAATAAGAACCCGTGGTTGGGAGCTCACAGGCTGTAGGGCAGACCCCACTACTATTGTTCTGTGAAGTGAACATAGTATCAAATTGCCTTCTAAACTCATATCTCTATATCCATAGATTACGTGAGATCTCATCAGAGAAGTCTCTGTAGACAGTGAACAATGGTTAATGCAGAAACTCACAACTGGTTCCAGTGCAGAGGAAAATGTCAGTAGGGTGCTCAGCCAGAAATGGGACATCTATATCATCTCCCTCCCCACAAGGCTTAAGAACCATCACAGAAGAGGAGAAAAAAGACTGTAGGAATCAGAGGTCAGGGATTACCAAAGCAAAACAGTATAGTCTTGAGATGAAATGACCACTGCAGTCGTAAAGTCACAGCAACTGTAGTTACCTACACAAGACCTATATAAGATCAAGCCCATCAGCCTTCTAGTATGGAGGAGGAAGCGGTTCCCGAGTCCCTATCTATAACAAGGAACTATGGACAACTGATGGTGCCCGAAGGTGGGAGAGTCAGTTTTCTTTAACAGTATAGCACCTAGCAGATCAACTGTGCTCCAGGGGATGACTCTGCTTCTAGTAGTGTATGAGTGCCACAAACTGGACTTGATGAGTTATTAAAAATAAAAGGAAGACATGAAATTGGGGGTGGGATAAGGAAGTAGGGAAGAATCCGAATGAGTTATGGATATGAGTAGGGAATGAATATGATCAAAATATATTGTATGATATTCTCAAAGAAATAATGAAATGTTTGTAATATTAAAAAATTATTAACTGGGGGAATGAAATGAGTAAAGGAAAATAGAGATTTGTTTGGAGTTATTTTGTCTTTGTAAATATGTGAACTTCTCACAGATTTCTTTCAAGAAACTCTTTTGGAGGTTTTACCATGACATACTATAAAATATTTAAGACTGAAGCCTGGAAAAGGAAATATTGTTGAGTAGGAAAAACTCATACTCTTCCATGAGTACATTGAAGACAACCTTCCTGAAAGAGGAGACCATATATTATGCCCATTGTGGTGCTGAGGTTTCAGATTTGTTCCTGTAGTCCTCAAGGTTTTCTAGGATATGCATCTCAGCAGGTGTGTCTAGTGAGGAGCCTGAAACGCCACCTGAGTTTGAAAGGTCATATGCTTGACTGCAGCTGAGTCCTCTTGATTTACTCTTGAGTCTGCTCCATTCCTCGTCTGATAGTCTCTAGTTCTATCCAATCCACCCACCCTTTACCTTTCTCACACAATTCCCTTTTGAATTCAAATGAAGGAGAATCACCCAGATATATTGTTCTCTGTGTGCTCTTGAGTCTCTTTCACAGTCTTTTCTCTCACGCTTTTCAGTTAGTCCTTAAAGGCACACCTCTCTACGAGTCTCCTTCGGATGGTGATGATTATTCCTCATCCAAGTAACCTCATCATGTCATTCATTTTTGTGGATTAGATTGTCCAATGACTATTGTTAAATACCCATTTGTCAGAATGTGTGGTGTCATGTGTCATGATGCTCCTTTGTCTCCATTCCTTAGCAGTTTGTGTGCGGTAGATGTCTTGGGCAGTTGTGAAACTGAATTGTTGAGTAGATGAAAATGTGGTTCTTAAGAGATCAAAGACAAAGCCTGGAATCTCTAGCCCCTGTGGGTACCACCAGAGACGGTTTAAAAACTCCATACACGGTGTGCCTAGGTCTATATAGAATTCTTTTTGTTATCTCCACAGTTGGGCTACAATTCATTACAAGTGAAGATTAGTAGATAGAGGAAAGTTCAATTTTTTTAATTGGCTGAGCTCCAATCATATCCATAGATGTTTTAGAACCTTATTCTATTTATTTGTGTGTATATGATACATGAATATGTATGACCACAAGTATCTGCTACAATTTAGTATTAGTCAAACCATCAAACACATACCAGTTCCTCCTTAAAAGGAGTCACTTGAATGAAAACTCAACTCTAACCAGGAAACCAAAAGCACTTGGAGGGCAGTACTTCCTTAGCCTGGACCAACTTGTTCTACTCATTAGGGACAAGGAAATGTCTGATGATGTCCCTATGAGCAGGGAGTTGTTGGGATAGGAAGAAGCATTCTGTGTCTCCCCCTGCTGGTTGATGGAATGACTAAAGGGAACAGGCCCTCAGGAGTCCTCATGGTGGTCAAGACCTTACAGCCTTGTGCCATCTGGTCACTGGCTTCTGTGAACTTTTAATGAGGAAAGTCGATGTCGAGTTCACATCAGGTTATTTTCTCTCATCCCTAGCTTTCTAACTCTGCTTAATTAGCATTCTGAATTTCTTAACAATTCCAACTTCACATCCCATTGAAATAAACCATTAGGAAATTCTCTCCTAGCATATTTTAATTCCAGACTATCACTACATTTTGATTAGATTAAAACTGTTTTTAAAAGCCCGTGTTTGAAAATAAGCTGCAGGGTTATCGAAAGGGATATTGTTTCCTCTAGTCTACCAGTCACCAGGAGACATGAAGAAAGAACGTCCAGTGCCAGGTAAAGTGAGTCTACAGAGTACTGGGGAAGAAAGAATGATCTACAACTTGTTTGTGTTATCTCATTACCTGCACTTAGTAATTATGTATTAAGAGATTTGAAAAAGCTTTTCATTGTGAGTATTCAAGTCTATAAAGAAGACTTTGTATAATAAATGGCTTCCGAATCAGAAAATGTTCTCAATAAATGGTGACAGTTAAGATAAGAAACCAAAGTCTTATCATTGCCAGATATGAAGTGGAGACCATAGAGGGGACAATAGGAAAATTGAGAAGGAGAGAAAGAAAGAAATGAAGAAAGAAAGGAAGGAAGGAAGAAAGAAGAGAAAGAAAGAAAAAAGAAAGGAAGAAATGAAGGAAGAAAGAAAGGAGGAAGGAAAGAAGGAAGGAAGAAAAGAAAGAAAGACAGACCTAGAAGTGAAGGTTGTCCTATCTAAGATCAGATGTGGGAACAAATGGGAAAGCAACAAGAAGTCAGTATGGAGAGAGAAGGGAAGAGAGGGGGAAAGATGGGATGCTTTAGGAGACTGCGTTTGCAAAGGAAGCTTCTGGGGAATGTGCAATTCTAGATGCTTTGCAGGTCTGTCTGATCCTGGTCATAGTCAAATAGTCCTTTGTATTTTGTTTACTATGTTGAAGAACAGTGTTAAACATTTTAAGTAGAGTTCAATCAAACACCATAGAATTTTTTTTATTGGTCCTCAAGTGTTTATTGAATGCTATTTTGTTTAGGGCATAACAAGTCCTTAAACAATTCTTACATATCAGTACAGTACCTTTATTCAGGGATTTGTTTCTTGTAGTCAGCCTTGCTGGTAATTTGGGGACAACGTTCTTTTTACCTTATGGTTGAATCTTTAACAAATAGGTTTATTGAGCAGGAAGAAAGAAAGGGATAATCCAGGAAAAAATTTTATTGACTAGCCTAGAAGTAGTTTACAGTTGTTCTGTCCACATTCCTCTGATTAGAAACCAGTCACATGACCATAATCTCACCACTGCCAACCTGTGTGGAAAATGGCTCCACCTCTACAGTTGACCAAGAAACAAAACACGGATACTACATTTGGAGATTAGTGGTAGCATTCTATGCTTGAGGATATGGAGATTCTAAAATGCATATCTAGTCCTGATAAAAATTCTGCCTTTAAAAAATAGACAGTGAGTGAAATAGACAAGTTAAAATGCATGGTATAGTAAATGGTGCGAAGGCCCTGAGGAGAAAACTAAGTTTCCTGGTGAGACGGCATTGTAGAAGTCAGCTTTGCTGACGAGAAGCAGCTGGGTCATTTAGGAAAATATCTGAAGGAGGTGAGGGTGTTAAGTGAATTTCAGGCAGAAGACATGGTAAGTCTAAGGGTCTGGAGCAAAGTCTAGTTGGGGTTACAAGGACAGCATGGAGCCTGGTGTGGCTGGGCCAAGATAGCTGGTGAGCAGTGGGTAGCATTACTAGGATATTAGATCTGCGATGTAATGGGGGAAAGCAGGATTTCCATTGAGTGCAGATGAGGAAGGGATGGAGGGAAGCACAGAGCAAAGGAGGAAGGGGAGACAGAGAGAGTGTGTGTGAGAGAGGCAGAGACAGAGAGGATCTCCATGAGCTAAATGTGCTGTGTAGTGAATGATGCACTCTTCCATCAGAGGCTTTAAAGAAGAAAGTTGACAGCACAGAGACATTCTGTACCATTCTAGTTGTTGGACTGGGAGACATTGCAGGAGACAAGCACAGATAAGAGTAGGTTAGGTGGGAGATGATCAAGGTGAGAGATAACTGAACTAAATTAGTAGCAGTAAAATTGCTAAAATGCGATTGCAGATATTTGAAAAGAGGGTGGCTCACTGATCACATGTGTGGCAGAAAGTAGAAGAACAAAGTTCATCTGTGGTATCTTAGCAAGCTTGAATAGAGACAAATGGGAGGGGCAGAATTTTAATTTAAATATAGTATTTCCATTACTTCTTTGAAAGTTTTAATAATGCACACGATGTATTTTGATCAGACCCACTCTGACTACTCTACCCTCTCTAACTTCATGTCCTCCAGTTACTGTTCAAACCTCTGAATCCTATTTGTGTTGCCCATTTTCTCATGGGTATGGGGCCATCCCCTGGATTGTGAATAACCTACCAATGGCAATATCCTTAAAGAAAACTCACTCTCTGCTCCCAGCATCCACCACTGTCAATAGCTTCACAGCTGAGACTGGGATTTATAATCCCCTTCTACTCCATGTTGCCTGGCTTGGTCCTGAGCAGGCATTTATGAGGCAACCACAGGTGCTGTGACCTCATCAGTGCAATGGTCCTGTCATGTCCAAAAGACACTGTTTTGGTCTAGCTCTACCCAACCGCTGGAACATACTTTCTCCCCTGTCTTTGAAAATGGCCCCTGAGCCTTAGGGGAGGAGTGTGAGATAGATGTCCACTTTGCAGCTGAGCATTGCACAGACACTTGGTCTTCACGGAGCAGTGGTGAGTTCCGGCTGACTGAGCTGTCCACTGCGCAAAAGTGGGAGACTCTGAAATCCGGAGATGACCTGACCAAGAGCTCCATGTTCCACCTCGAAGTGGAGATGGCTATCTGCCAGTCAAGTGAAGTGCTGCTAACTTCCCAGGGTGCTGTGCATCTGGTTAGAGGTGACGTGGTCTAAATGACTGAGACACTGTCACTCATCAGAGGAAACCTTAGGGAAACAAGAGTAGCAGAACCACACTTTGAGGCATGATGACTTTCCAAAGTTGGAGACGGAGAAGTGGAAGCGTAAGGAAAATCCATCAGAGGAGACCAAAAACATCTGGCCAATGGGGCAAAGAGAAGCAGGGAGAAGCTAAAGGATAAAGAGAGGTGGGCAGCCTGTGAGCATCTGTTCTCCAGGGGCTGAGGCAGGAAGGTATCAGGTTTAAGGTTAGTTAGCATTGGTGGCACAGCAAGATCAAATGTACAAAGACATTGCCAGCTGATTGGGTAGGCAAAGGAGGAAATGTAGGCATTGGGTTTAGGATGTGGGTGTCATTTGTAGCTTTGACAAGGACTTGTATCAAGTACTAGAATAAGCCCTGAGTAGAGGAAGTTCAAAGAACATGTGAGAAGAAGTGGTATTCAGGATGGAGAAGACTACCTAAGCTTAGGTTGTGAAGGGAAGGGGGAAAATAAGGTACTACCTGGCAAGGAGTGTTGGCTTAAAGTTCTTTCTCTTTAGAAATCTGTGCACTCATATGAGGAGGATTTGGAGGTAAGAGTTATCGCAGAAGAGAGAGGAGAAAATTCTAGGAACTTTCCAAGTGCAGGAAATTTCACTCAGTAAAAAGGAAGGTAAAGCCACGTGTAGGCGGAGGTGTGTTGGGGGCACTTCTAAAGCCTCTTGTCTGAATGGCTCTATTTTTTCAGGAAAATGTTTGAGACAAAGATGAAATTTCAGTATTTCAGCAGAGAGGAAGAGTTACAGCAGTCAGTCACCTCAGAAAGCAGCCAGTGAGTGGACTGGGGAGCCGCTGGGTGATTGTCTGGCCTCATGAAGGGCTCTCTTGTGGAGACTGACCAATCAGCAGTCCTGAGTTTATTTCCAGCTTCATTTAGTTTCACTGGTGCAGGCGAGGACAGGGAGAGGGTTGATGTAGCCAGAGCTGCTAAGTGAGTGGGCACAAGGGACTGAGAGGGTGGAGCCTAAGTGAAGAAGAGACTATGAGTGATCACAACACTGTGTTAAGACACACGGGCATGAAGATGTGAGGTGCTAGGGTGATGGGGCTAAGGATGCCAACACTGAACTCGGGTATGACGTGTGTCAGCTAGAAAGACTGCAGACGGTGAGAGGACAGGGCGAATTTATGTGGAGGTTTCAGTTGGAGGGATGCCAGAAATAGTGTGAAGAGTTTGGAGACACGAGAACACAGAGTTTTGAAATTCTTATCTGCCTGGACATTGAAATCACTTGTATAAAAAGACGGTGCAGGGAAAGGAATGTTTTAAAGAATTAGACAGCGATGGCCACAGATGCTTAGGAGAAGAAAGGAGAACGGCTGACACAATCTGAAGTCTAGGGGAGCAGAGGTGGGAAAGGGGACATGATTGTGGAGATATCTACTTGACACTCAGCCTGCTGGTTTACAAGGGGCAGGTAAGTAACAGTGGGAATGGTGCCCAAGGAGAAAGCCTGGTTTCAATTTCCAATAATAGTAAACGAGAACAGGTTGAATTACATTGGAAATATTGTTACCATCCAAGAGTGAGTGCCAAGGGCTGGAGCAGGAGACAGTCAGTCATCTGAGGAAGTGAGGCTTGCGTTCAGAGGGGCTCACACAGAGCCCTACACAGATTAGAGATCATTCAGATTCAGATAACCTACAGACACACCCATTGACCTAACACCCAGACCACCTCATCACTCCCTGTCCCTCATCCACCCCTGTCTCTCAACACCCACTAATTTGTTCATCTCTGTGTTTGTGTCATATTGAGAATGTTACAGGAATGGACTCATACAATATGGAAGCTTTCATCACACTCTTCACTAAACATAATGTCCTGAAGTGCGTCCTGTCTGGCTGTGTCAATCACTCATACTCCTGAATTGCTGTTTACGCCATCACATGAAAAGCCAGGGTTGATCCAACTGTTTGTTCATCAACAATTCTGAGTTGCTTTCCTTTCTCCCCTATTAACCCTACAATCTGTTATGAACATTTCACACACAGAACTGCGAGTCCTTTGAAACCAAGTGTTCAAAGCATTCTATTGTGCTCTTCTGTGTGCCTACAGTTGACTAAAGCTGTTTAAAATAATGAAGTTGTTAACATAGAGGAAGCAATGTTGAGGCCCCCCCTCCCCCATCTCTCCAATTTTGGTCTCTGTTGCTGTGATAAAACGTTCTCACCCAAAAAGCTATTTGGGGGAGGAAAGGGTTTATTAGGATTATAAGTTAAAGTCCTTCATCAAAGAAGCTGAGGGAGGGACTCACAGCTAGAACCCAGAAGCAGGAGCTCAATCAGAGACAACAGAGGAACACTGTCTGTTGACTTGTTGCACATGGTTTGCTCAGCCCACTTTCTTACACTACCCAGGACCATCTGCCCAGGTGTGTAGTGTACTGGACCCTCCCACACCAGTCGTTAATCAGGGAAATGCTCACAGGCTTGCCTGTAGGCCAGTCTTATGCACGCATGTTTTTGATTGAGGTTCTCTCTTCCCAGCTAACTCTAGCTTATGTCAAGTTGGCAAAAACTAACCAGTATGCCCTTCCTAAAATTCTTTTATTATTCTTTTAGCAATTACAGGCATCCAGACAATTTACATGGACCATAATCCCTGAATTATCCTCTCTTGTCCTTCTACCAAACCCATTTCTTTTTCTTTTTTTTCCAAACCCATTTCTTTGCAACAAATTTCCCTTCTACCTTCATGACTTTTATTTGCCTGTATAAATTCAGATTAGGAAACATAATTTACTTAAGCAAAGTCAATTTTTTAAATTTAGAAACAATCTTATTTTATATATCAATCTCAGTTCCCTCTTCCTTCCATCCTCCCATGCTCCCCACGACCCCCATCCCATCCATCTTTTCCTCCATAGGAAGGGTGAGATCTTCCATGGGGGATCATCAAAGTCTGTCACATCATTTGGGGCAGGGCCTAGGCTCTCCCCAGAGTGTCTAGGCCGAGAGAGTATCCCTCCATAGGAATGGGCTCCCAATGTTCATTTGTACACTAGGGATAAAAACTGTTCCACTACCAGAGGCCCAGGCCTTCTAACTGACACCCATGCTCATGGAGTCTAGTTCGGTCCTATGCTGGTTTCCGAGCCTTCAGTCTGGGGTCCATGAGCTGCCCCTTTTTCAGGTCAGCTGCTTCTGTGGGTTTCCCCAGCCTGGTCTTGAGCCCTTTGCTCATCACTTCTCCCTCTCTACAACTGGATTCCAGTAATTAAGCTCAGTGTTTAGCTGTGGGTGTCTGCTTCTGTTTCCATCAGCTATTGGATGAAGGCTCTAGGATGGGATATAAGGTAGTCATCAATCTCATTATAGGGGAAGGGCATTTAGGACAGACTCTTCACTATTGCTTAGAATCTTTGTTGGGTTCATCCTTGTATATCTCTGAACATTTCCCTAGTGCCAGATTTCTCTTTATACCTATAATGGATCCCTGCATTAAGGTATCTCTTTTCTTGCTCTCCTCTATTCTTCCCTGACTCAATCTTCCTGGTACCTCATGTCTTCTTCCCACCTCCTCTTCTCCCCTTCCTTTTCTCCGAACTCCCTCTCCCCTCCACCCATGCTTCAATTAGCTCAGGAGATCTTGTCCCTTTCCCCTTCCCCAGGGTACCACATATGTCTTATCTTAGGCTGCTCCTTGTCTCCTAGCTTCTTTGGAGGAGTGAGTTGTAGGCTGGTAATCCTTTGCTCTGCATCTAATATCCTTATGTGAGTGAGTACATACCATGTTTGTCTTTTTGTGACTGGGTTACCTCACTCAGGATGGTTTCTTCTAGTGCCATCCATTTGCCTGTACATTTCAAGATTCCATTTTTTTTCCCTGCTGAGCAGTACTCCACTGTGTAAATGTACCACATTTAGTTTATCCACTTTTCAGTTGAGGGGTAGCTATGTTGCTTCCAGGTTCTGGCTTTTACAAATAATGCTGCTATGAACATGATTGGACAGACATCCTTGTTGTATGAAAGTGCATCCTTTGGGTATATGCCTAAGAGTGGAATTGCTGGATCTCGAGGTAGACTGATTCCCCATTTTCCTGAGGAACCACTATACTGATTTTCAAAGTGGCTGCACAAGTTTACACTCCCACCAGCAGTGGAGGAGTGTTCACCTTTCTCCACATTCTCTCCAGATAAACTGTTGTTGGTGTTTTTGATTTTAGCCATTCTGACAGGTGCAAGATGGTATCTTAGAGTTGTTTTGATTTGCATTTCCCTGATGGCTAAGGATGTTAAGCACTTTCTTAAGTGTCTTTCAGCCATTTTAGATTCATTACTCTATTGAGAATTCTCTATTTCGTTCTGTACTCCACTTTTTAGTTGGATTGTTTGGAGTTTTGGTGACTAGCTTCCTGAGTTATTTGTATATTTTGGAAATCAGCCGTCTGTCAGATGTGGGGTTAGTGAATACCTTTTCCCATTCTGTGGGCTGCTGTTTTTGCTTGTTGGCTGTGTCCTTTGCCTTACAGAAGCTTCTCAGTTTCAGGAGGTCCCATTTATTAATTGTTGATCTCAGTGTCTGTGCTATTGGTGTGATGTTCAGGAAGCAATCTCCTGCACCAATTTGTTCAAGGGTACTTTTCCCACTTTCTTTTCTAAGAGGTTCAGTGTGGCTAGATTTAGGTTGAGGTCTTTGATCCATTTGAACTTAAGTTTTGTGCTTTGGGATACATATGGATCTGTCTGCTATCTTCTACACATTAGCATCCAGCTATGCCAGCACCATTTGTTGAAAATATTTTCCCCCCCATTGTATAGCTTTAGATTCTTTGTCAAAAATCAGGTTTTCATAGGTGTGTGGCTTAATATCAGGGTTTTCAATTGGATTCCATGTCTGTTTTTGTGTAAATACCAAGCTATAATAGAGCTTGAAGTCAGGGATGGTGATGCCCCTGGAAGCTCCTTAATTGGACAGGGTGGTTTTGGCCATCCCGGGTCTTTTGTTTTTCCATATAAAGTTGAATATTGTTCTTTCAAGGTCTGTGAAGAATAGTGCTGGTATTTTGATGAGGATTGCATTGAATCTGTATATTGCTTTTGGCAAAATTACAATTTTTATTATGTTGATCCTACCTATCCAAGGGCATGGGAGATCTTTCCATTTTCTGATATCTTCTTTAATTTCTGTGTTTAAAGACTCAAAGTTTTTGTTATACAGGTCTTGCACTTGTTTGGTTACCATTACCCCAAGATATTTTATGTTGTTTGTGGCTATTGTGTAGGGTAATGTTTCTCTGATTTCTTTTTCAGCCCATTTATCATCTATGTATAGTAGGGATACTGAGTTTTTAATTAATCTTGTATCCTGCCACTTTGCTGAAGGTGTTTATCAGCTGTAGGAGTTCTCTGGTAGAATTTTTCGCGTCACTCATGTAAACTATATCATCTACAAATAGTGACAGTTTGACTTCTTCCTTTCCAATTTGTGTCCCCTTGATCTCCTTTTGTTGTCTTACAGCTCTAGCTAGAACTTCAAGTACAATATTGAAGAGATATGGAGAGAGTGGACAGCCTTGTCTTGTTACTGATTTTAGAGGAATTGCATTGAGTTTCTCTCCATTTAGTTTGATGTTGGCTGTTGGTTTGCTATATATTCCCTTTATTATGTTTAGGTATGTTCTTGTTTTCCCTGATCTCTCCAAGACCTTTATCATGAAGGGGTGTTGGATTTTGTCAAAGGCTTTTTCAGCATCTAGTGAGATGATCATGTGTATTTTCTTTTTCAGTTTGTTTATATGGTGGATTACAATGATAGATTTTCATATGTTGAACCATCCCTTCATGCCTGGGATGAAGCAAGCCTACTTGATCATGGTGGATGATTTTTCTGATGTATTCTTGGATTTAATTTGCCAGTATTTTATCGAGTATTTTTGCATCCATTTTCATGAGGGAGATTGATCTGTAGTTCTCCTTCTTATTTGTGTCTTTGTGTGGTTTGTGTACCAAGGTAATTGTAGTCTCCTAAAAAGAGTTTGGCAAGGACCATTCTGCTTCTATTGTGTGGAACAATTTGAGGAGTATTGGTATTAGCTGTTCTTTGAATTTCTTGTAGAATTCTGCACTGAAACCATCTGGCCCTGTACTTTTTTGGTTTGGAGACTTTTGATGAGTGCTTCTATTTCATTATGGGTTATAGGCCTGTTTAAATTGCTTATCTGTTCTTGGTTTTGTTTTGCTAAGTGATATCTAACCAGAAAAGATTGTTCATTTCTTTTAAATTTTCGAATTTTATAGAGTACAGGTTTTCAAAGTATGAGCTGATAATTCTGTGGATTTCCCCAATGTCTGTAGTTATGTCCCACTTTTCATTTCTGATTTTGTTAATTTGCATGTTCTCTCTCAAACTTTTGGTTAGTCTGAATAAAGGTTCATCTATCTTGTTGATTTTCTCAAAGAACCCACTCTTGCTTTCATTGATTCTTTATATTGTTTTCTTTTTTTCTAATTTGGTGATATCACTCCTCAATTACATTATTTCCTGGTGTCTAATCCTCCGGGGTGAGTTTGCCTCTTTTTGTTCTAGAGCTTTCAGCTGTGCTGTTAGTTCTCTAGTGTAACCATCCTCCAGTTTCTTCATGTGGGCACTTAGTGCTATGAACTTTCCTTTTAGCACTGCTTTCAAAGTGTCCCATAAATTTGGGTATGTTGTGTCTTCACTCTCATTGAATTCTAGGAAGTCTTTAATTTCTTTATTTCTTCCTTGACCCAGGAAGGGTGCAATTGCGCATTTTCAATTTCCATGAGTTTGTAGGCTTTCTGCAGTTTGTGTTGTTGTTGAATTCTAACTTTAAAGTGTGGTAATCCAATATGATACAGAGATTATTCCAATTTTTCGTATCTGTTGAGGTAAAGCAAAGGCAATTTAACAGTAGCTACACCACTAAGCAATATGATTCCCTCTCAGCAACTGTTAAGTGTATGTAAATCTTCTGGAAGAGGTCGGACCTTCTGAGCCCCTCCACCATCCATGACAGAATGTTGACATCCATATAGCACAAATTCTAATTGATCTTAGTAATAAAAACCCAGAGTCAGATATCACGGTAAATGCTGAAAGGTCAGAGAAGTAGAGGAGCCAACCACTAGAGAGACTTCTTACCTCTACTGAATCCTGAGACCAAAGAGGGCATCCTGTCCCTAGGAATCCTCAGACTGAATGTAGTGAGCTCCTGTCTCCTATCACCTTATATTCTGCCCTTTGCCCAACCATATCACTCCTGTCTCTACCTCCCTAGTGCTAGGATTAAAGGCTTGTAGTTTCCAAGTAGTGGAATTAAAGGTGTGAGCCAGCACCACCTGGCTCTGTTTCTCTTTTAGACTAGATCAATCTCGTGTAACCCAGGCTGGCCTTGAACTCACAGAGATCCCTCTGCCTCTACCTCCTGAGTGCTAGGATTAAAGTTATGTGCCTCCACTGCCTGGCATCTATGGCTAACTAGTGGTTAACTCCACACTCTGATCTTCAGGCAAGCTTTATTTGATACCTCCACAGTCCCTGTACAGTCTTGTAGAAAACTTATGCTAATACACCTTGCTTCTTTGAGTTAATGTGTATAATCATGGAGCCATAAATGAAACACACACACACACACACACACACACACACACACACACACACACACACACCTCAATATAGACAAATCGAGAAAACAGAATGCTGAGTGAATAATGCTAGCCTCTAAAGTGTTTGATTCTTTTCATTTGAAATAGAAACAGCAATGTGGGTCAATACCACCAGGAATGTAGCTATGAGTTCCTTCAGCAGAGGTGATGATGGATTCTGGGCTGCTGGTGATGTTCAGTTACTTGATCAGGCTGATGGTCATTCCCTTGTTAAGTTGATGAGCTGCCCACTTACACAGGTATGTTTTATGAATGTTTTTGTACTATAATACGGCATTTAAGCACAAGCTTTCTCATGTCTCAGGGGCTTCTCTAATGTGTCCCCTCATTTTGTTGCTCATGGCAGCTTGAAACCCACAATTCCATTTATGAGTCAGTCATCAATAATGTTTTATTTGTAATGCTTTCAGAGAGCAGGAAAGAGGGTCAGTTCAAGCTTGGTGGCTGAGCAAGTCTCCCTAACTTACTGATAGTGATAGCATTGATTTCATCGGCAACCCTCTTTCCTGCAATTCATCTCCCTGTCAACACCTAACCTGAGGACAATGGAACGGATGAGTGGAATTTTTATTTATTAAAAGGGCAACATCCTAGAAATGAAATTACAATTTAGTTGGGATAAATTGTCATAGAACTTCATTTTTTTTACATTAAGACTATAATTGAAGGGCATTATGCGCTGTTTATCATGGCAATGAAAATGTAGTCGGAATGAACTTCTCAGGGCTGTTTAACTGCCTCTTATTAGCATTGAAACTATACTCACAGCCCATTATCTTGGGCTATATTTTTGGTATAAGGGAATTGCTATCAAAGTGTACTTAATCTAACGGGAATTGGTTTATAATTGGAGTCTTTGTGAAAGGAGAATTAAAATTATTTGGTAATGTCACAAGGTAGCTCAGTGCTGTTGGAACATCATGGTATTGGCTGGGCACATCGGTGAGCACCATACTCTGCACTTTTATCCTTAATTAATGGAGGATGGGTGCACCTTTCAATCTTTGTTGGGTAGAAGATTTTCTACTAGTTGTTAGAGAGTTTTCATCACGTGTACGCTCCAGCCAAGGATTCACTTGATACTACTTTTTAAAATTTAGTTTTATACATATATTTGTGAGCTTTTATGAGTTTATATATACCCTGTCCATGATGAAACACACGAAGGCCAAAAGAAGGCATTGGATTCTCTAGAACTGAATTTCAGATGGTTATGAATTGCCTGCCATGTGAGCATTGGGAGCCCAGACATTAGTTGCTCAGTCATTTCTCCAGTTCCATCACTTGGTATTTCTTACAAGGAAGTTTTGATTAACCCAAACACAAAAAGTTGCCATACTTATACCATGGTAGGCACATGACAAAAGTCAGCTAAGTCCCACTGCCAGCAGATATGAGTAAAAGAAATTCCTTCAGAATATTCAGGATATTCCTTCAAATAGAGTATATCAACAGCCTCGAATTAGTGCATGTAGGACAGTTATTGCCAGTAATGTACTATGATATTCCAATTAAACTTTTGCCAGGAATGTATTGTCACACAATCCAGGTGAGAAGGTGGCAACGTCTCTGTAAAGCATCAAGGAATGACTGTTAGTTTGGCAGGTCACCCACTCTTTGTGACAGCTGCCCCTGGAGCATGAAGCCACCTGTAAAGACTCTCAAGTAAAGGGTTGTAAGCCCATGCCAGGGTCATTACAAAGGACAGACACTGGCTGCACTTAACCATGATCACGGATTGTAGACCACAACTGTGACAATACCTGTCACCGTTGGAACTGTATGCACCCGGGCAGTGCAATATCAGGCCCTTAGGGTTGTAAACTGGTTAGCCAGGCAGATTATGCACTCTTATTTGTTAATGATAATTATCATATCTTGTGGTTAAAACGAGGTAATTTTAATAGTATGACATGCTAATAACACTTATTGCTACCGTTAAAAATAAATATCACTTTATTCTTTTGTGTCTGGAGACCCTGAAATACATCATCTCCTGCTCTTTGAGTGGAAACAAAAGGCAAATCAATCTCGTTTCTGAACAAAGGAGGATTTTTCAGGACCATTTGAAAACATGCCCCTTCTCCTAACTTGAGCGACTGTGTGTATGTTTTTCTGTCTCTGTCTCTCTCTGGGTATGTATGCTTCATGCTTCTCTCTCTCTCTCTCTCTCTCTCTCTCTCTCTCTCTCACACACACACACACACATACACACACCACACACACACACACACACACACACACACACACACACGCTTGCGGATGGGTGTGCATGTGTAGTGTTGATGGAGATGCCTGGCTCCACCTGTGAGCATCCCTGACTGACTGCTACATGCTTCTTGACTCTCCCTGCTGCTTTAAAGTCAGGGCGTGGCTTGGCTCCTGTCTGCAGTCCTGGCAGGACCCTGCCTTGCTTTGAAACCCTGGACAAAACCAGAAGCAAACAGGTGACTTCTTCCACCATAGAGAAGCTTTGACACGTCATGGCTGCCTTGAGGGTCAGAGCTGAACGTCCACTTCTGCCACCAGCTGGAGAATAGGGCAAGAGCCCTGTGCCCAATAATTCGACTTGTTCAAGACCCAATTTCCTTGTTCACAGAACTGAAGTAATATTGTCACATTTAAGGTTGACATGAGAATTAAATGCCAAGGAACAAAATGCTTGATATGCTCAGCCAAGAACGCCTTCACTGCTCATATGCCCTCTCAGCCTCTCAGGCCCCTTGGAGGGTTTTTTTTTCCTCACGGCCCTGGCTGCATGCATTGCACACAGAGAGAAATAATCGCTGCCTTATCTTACTATCTCCCAATCTAAATTCCCCCCAGAAATCTGACAGACTGACACCAGAATGCCAGTTCTGAGCTCAGAAGCAGTGACGTCTTCATATCCTTCAACAGTACAGACAATCTAGGGCAGAATTGTAGCACAACTCCAATACTTTACATCTCCAGTATTTTCTGACATTTACCACCATCAGAACATACAGCAGAATCCAAGCACAATTTCTTTGAGGTAAAAGTGTAAGTGCGTTTTCATATCTGAGTGTGTTGAATAACCTTTAGATGCAAAGTTAGCACAGCAAACATTGACATGATGCAGGCAGTTCAGAGCAGAGTGCCTAAAAATAAATACAAGGAGTTCATATGCTGCAAAAGTTAAGAATTCAAATGAAAAAATGAGCTTTGAGGCACAGAAATTAACAAGACCTCATTATTGTCTCCAATTTCATGGGTGCAACTGATTAGAAGGTGCTAAATATAGTTGTAATAAATACATATATATATTATATATCATATGGATACATATTATATATGCATGTGACTTTGATAAATTACTTTGAAACCTATTACTCATAAATTTTCTAGCTGCTATGAAGTTTTGTTTTTCCAACTATGGTTATATTCGCTGAACTGTTAGGCTGTATAATTTGGAATTGGAAGTTCTGGGCCTGAGTCCTAAGTGTTTTCAGTTTGCAATCACTGTAAATGGCATTTTGGCCCTTTGTTATTTTGTATGGCTGCTGGAACATCTTTTAAATGTGCTCTAAAGGTAATGTTCTTGCAAGGGGACAACCCCACACTTCACCCTCTCCTGATATAGTCCTTGGACCACTTGTTTTTTCTCCTGAGGATGAACTCGTGTTCTAAGATGCTTCTTTGTTTTCCGGACAACATTCTTAGCCAGAATGAATCCATTCCCTTCGTTGACAAATAATAGTATGTCCAGGGTCTATGGAAAATCTTTTCTGTGTCCCTTTTCAGCCTGATAATGAGATCAACCTTAATTTCTGTTTCACTGGTGAGCCCACATTGAAATAAGGCCATACATCCCATATCTCCACCACAGAGAAAGACAAATATCTTAGGCGTGCCTCTTTCTGATACAGTTTGAGCTCTGTGTCCTTTCCCTGAGCCACCAGGGCATATGGAGGCCTTCAGCTTGGATGCTTGTGGATGAAGAGAACCTATTTCTTGCTGGACGTGAAGTCAGAAAACCCTTCAGGACCCATAGCAATCATTGCTTGAGTAGCTCTGAGTACAGCAAAGCTCTTGGTGACATTTCAGGGCCTTGGTCCAAGTAAATAAAATTCATTCCATAATTGAAGCCTACATGACTAGTACCTCTCTCAGCCCCCCAGATCCTGAAAGGAAGTGTAGAGGTTCCCCTACCATGTACCATCCATGTCTCAGTATGAGTGTCACCATGGAATGAAGTCCAGGAAGACAACAGGTGCATGATGAAGCTCAGTGTCACATAGACTGCCATTAAGGGGTCAGTCCTCCTCCTTCCCTTCTGTCGAGCTTCTGAGATTTCTTTTCCTTCTCTTTCAGGTGTTTACTCCCCCCACAAAAAAACCCTATTCATTCTTAAAAAAAAACCTTATTCATTTTTATCAGCTATTTCAGTTTCGTTTCTGTTGCTGTGATAAAATGACCTGAACAAAAGCAACACAGGAAGAGAGGGTTGACTTTAGCTCACAATTCCAAGTTCCAGTCCATCACTGAAGGGAGGTCAAGGCCACAGAGACTGGAAGCATCTCGTCAAGAGCAGAGAGAGGATGTATGCATCACGCTTATGCTCCGCTTGGTTTCTCCTTCCACACTCTTAGGGCCCAGCCCGTGAAATGGTGCCACTCATATTCAGTCTCAGTGAACCCAATTAAGAAAGTCACTTACAGGTCAGCCTAGGAAGATAAGGAGAATCCTTCATCTAGACTCTCTTCCTAGCGATTCTACATTGCAACAACCTGACAGTGAAAACCAATCATCACACCAACTCCCCTGATGTTAATAATAGGACTATCGTTTACTTAGCCCCTATTAAATTCAATGCTGTGCTGTTTGATTTATAAGGGTTCATAACCTATAATAACTTTGTCATTAATTATTTGTCATTATTATTATTACTATTATCAAGACTAAGTGACCTTGTGCTAAGTTGTCCACTAATAATCCATTGCAAGTGGGTCATCCAGTGCCAAATACAGAATTAAATCTTCACAGTTAGATGACAATGGGAAATAAACATCCAGGTATCTTGATTAGAACAGTTCTTCAGAAAAGTCACTTTGTAAAATGGATTAAAGGGGGTAAAACAGGGGCTTGGGAGGCTAAGTAGTAGCATAGTGAAAGGTCGGGTAGCAAAAGCTGTGGGTGTGAAGAGAGGGGAGAGAGAGAAGAGAGAGAAGAGAGGGAAGAAAAGAGAGAGAGAGAAGAGAGGGAAGAGAGGGGAGAGAGA